TTTTTTCACTGGACTCCTGTGCCCACTTCTTAGGGCCATTAAGGTAAGTGAAAAGCGATATTGGAGATAGGGAGTGGTCTGAGCCTTAGGATGTATTTTAAAGCATTCCAGGTAATTCTAACCTGAGAACTATGGTCTAAGTCATAAGTAAGTGAGTACAGGAGAAGAGGAGAAAGAACTGTGTTGATAGTAAGGGAGAAGAGAAAGAAAAAGAAAAGTGAGGTATAGACTGTTGTAGCTTAAAGGGACTATAGTTCAGCCCCTTAGTTTTCATAAGTAGAAATAGTATAACAACACGTAGTTTGACTATACCATGTCTGGGCACTGTTCTAAATCTAAGAAGAGATTGATGTAAGGTGCTTTGAGCATCTTTATATACTGAAATAGACATGGATCTCTTTAATAAATTAGTGTGTAACTATTTGAAGAGAGCAAATTTCATTGAAGAAAGATACACTACCGCTTTACCAGTCTTAATGAAGGTCTTTAAAGTGACTTCCAATTCTGCTTATTTTTAAATTTTTGCCAAAGAGGGGACTACAGTAAAAACAACAGCAGCAACACTTGCTGGGTGGACCTTGGAGCATCAGTTCCTCAGCAGTGCGCATCTCCAGGGCTGGTCACAGTGGTTCACTCTCCCCGCAGCGCCGCCCGGGCGGAGGGCCGGGGGAGGCCGCCTTCCGTCCCCTCCTAACCTGCCCCCCGGCAGAGAAGGCTAATTCCCGAACTTTAAATATTTCTTTATTGGTTTCAGAGAGGAAGGGAGAAGGAGAGAGAGAGAGAAACATCAATGATGAGAGAGAATCATTGATCGGCTGCCTCCTGCACATCCCCCACTGGGGATGGAGCCCGCAACCCAGGCTTGTGCCCTTGACCGGAATCGAACCTGGGACCCTTCAGTCCGCAGGCTGACGCTCTCCACTGAGCCAAGCCGGCTGGGGCTAATTCCCGAACGTGAGAGCTTTCTGTCACGTTAGCTTACCTTCTGCTGCCACGGCTTGAAACTTCCATTTCAAAGATTACAGAGACAGACGTTTTTTGCATATATGTACAGTTTCCGCCTTTTTTTTTTATATTGGAAAATTTTAGCTTTCCTCTTTAACCTGAATTTAACAGCCATTTGGGCAAAGAGTGTAGAATAGCAAACAAATATTCATAAATGTGCCCTGAGGCGTTATTTTGCAACATGAAATGTTCTCTGCGGCCTTGTTTTGCAACATTGATTGCATCCTCTCCGAGTGGAAGGTAGAGATGCATAAGGCACGCCTTGCCCTTCAAGGCCCGAGCATGGCGCTGTGCATAACATGCTCTGTGCATAACAGAAGGAAAAGCCAGGGTGGAGCCTAGGTGCTTACTGTGAAGGTACCTAGGCAGGATTAATGAAGGCTGCTTTTGTTTAAAGCATGAATAAAATTTCTCCGTAGGTTCGTGTTTTAAGTTTGCCCCAAGGACTGGAAATTTCACAAAGGGCTTGAATAGGAAAAGCAGAAATGTTAGTAATACTCCCCCCTTTTCACTTGTATACTTTTTACCTATACTAAAAACTTTAATGTATATTTTTTTAAATCCTCACAACAGTCTGAATAGGTGAGTGTTACGTTTTACAGGTGAGGGGTTTGTAAGGAGCTGAATTGATTAATCCAAAGGCTTGAATGTAGGAGAATTTTTGACCCTGAATCAATTGCCTTTTTTCACTGGACTCCTGTGCCCACTTCTTAGGGCCATTAAGGTAAGTGAAAAGCGATATTGGAGATAGGGAGTGGTCTGAGCCTTAGGATGTATTTTAAAGCATTCCAGGTAATTCTAACCTGAGAACTATGGTCTAAGTCATAAGTAAGTGAGTACAGGAGAAGAGGAGAAAGAACTGTGATGATAGTAAGGGAGAAGAGAAAGAAAAAGAAAAGTGAGGTATAGACTGTTGTAGCTGAAAGGGACTATAGTTCAGCCCCTTAGTTTCATAAGTAGAAATAGTATAACACGTAGTTTGACTGTACCATGTCTGGGCACTGTTCTGATCTAAGAAGAGATGGATTTAAGGTACTTTCAGCATCTTTATATACTGAAATAGACATGGATCTCTAATAAATTAGTGTGTAACTATTTGAAGAGAGCAAATTTCATTGAAGAAAGATACACTACCGCTTTACCAGTCTTAATGAAGGTCTTCAAAGTGACTTCCAGTTCTGCTTATTTTTAAATTTCTATCAAAGAGGGGGCGACAGTAAAAACAGCAGCAGCAGCACTAGCTGGGTGGATCTTGGAGCATCAGTTCCTCAGCAGTGCGCATCTCCAGGGCTGGTCACAGTGGTCCGCTCTCCCCGCAGCCCGTGAAAGGTCATGGCCACAGTTGGGTGTGCTTGCCAATCCACCAACACCAGCAGAACAGATGCAACCCAGCTGTCCCCAGTTAGGTGGCCCACCTATTGTCCCCTTTCCTTCTCTGCATGTTTTTCATGATCCCTTGCAGTGGTTCTCAACCTTCCTAATGCCACGACCCTTTAATATAGTTCCTCATGTTGTGGTGACCCCCAACCATCACATTATTTTCATTGCTACTTCATAACTATAATTTTGCTACTGTTATGAATCGTAATGTAAATATCTGATATGCAGGATGTATTTTCATTGTTCGTGACCCACAGGTTGAGAACCGCTGCCTTAGAGGATTGTTGTGAGACTAACATGAGTTATAAAAAACAGAACTGTGCCTGGGGCATAAAAGGGCTTTATAAATGTTAGCTATTATTTACCCTCCTTCCTTGGTTCTCTCTTTATCTTCCTCTTTTCATACCACGTTAGAGAAGCACATACTTTTTAAAAGTTCATCTTTTCTGTCCCCTCCTGCTAAATCATTACCTCAGTTTCCCAACCAAATTTTGTTCAGGGGAGAATGCATTTATATATTGTCACCTCTTTCACCAGAAAAAAGTCACTGCATCTAAATGCCAGTGTTTTGTTTTTTGTTTTTTCAATATCTTTCCAGTGCCTATGATTACACAATACCACCCATGGAGAAAACCCTTGTGAAAACCGACATTCAGATAGCTCTTCCTTCTGGGTGCTATGGAAGAGTAGGTAAGTGATTCAAGATGTTTTTGTGATACGTTCCTTCATCTTAGTTTTATCTGGGCTATAAAAGAGGGAAGGGATATTTCTTGGCCTAAAATAAGGAAGTGCCAACTGTGATGGCAAATGCAGCCATTTGAAAACTTTTATTTACATAATTGTACTTTGGAGATATTCCAGTTCCGTTTCAAAGCACTGCAATGAAGCAAATATCGCAATAAAGCAAGTCACGTGATTTTGGGGGTTTTCTAGTTCATATAAAAGTTAATGTTTACACTCTTTTGTAGTCTACTAAGTATACAATAGCATTGTCTAAAAATGTACATACCTTAATTTAAAAATATTTTAGTGCTTAAAAAATGCTAATCATCTAAGCCTTCAGCAAGTTGTAATCTCTCTGCTAATGGTAGGTCTTCAATTTGTAAAAAATGTAATATCTGCGAAGCACAATAAACAAGGTATGCTTATATCTGCTTTTGCCTCTTATCTCTGCTATTTTTCCGATTCCTTACTTTAGCTCTTAGAAGGCTCACATTGGCTCAAGAGGTTCTCGCTGTGAGAAAAACTGAAAATATAGGTGACTTTTAACTGTCACTTTTTCCAGTGTTACCACCAACTTGCCCTTCAAAAACCAGACTGCATATGAAGTCAAGATTTCTTTGTGAAGATGGTGATGAGAATGGCTAATATTTGTTATTTAAGAAAATAGAGGCCTGCTCAGGATAATGGCACATGGCATTTTATATCACGAGAGTGAAACTTCTAAAACCTGTTAGTCCCAGAGTATATCCGGCACGTAGCCTTTTCCCTTTTGGGTTTGCCCCCTTGAAGTGTGTTAGGGAAACACCTCACAATGCAGGAGCTGAGACAAAATGGAGTGTAAGTTCTCAGATTCGACTTTCCTAGAGTGATGCAGTTGTCCCTGGAGAGAGAGTTTAAAACTTCTTTTCAAGAGCATAATTACTTCCTATCTTCAAAGTAAACCTAAGGAGCAAGTGGAACTGTGACCCACCCTCCTCTCCCAGGGTTGGGGTGGGAGGTGATAGGTGAGTATCATTATCTTGTTGGCCATGAGACCTGCTGATGCCCCACTCCAGGCACTTACCACCTTATTGTCTGTGTCCATGGGTTATGCATACATGCATACAAGTTCTTTGGTTGATCTCTTCCCACCCACTCCTGCTTTTTCTATTGTCTTTTTAAGAATAAAAGGCATAATAAGAATAAAAAGCATAGTAAATTGGGTTTCTAAGGTTTAGTTTTTGGCATTTTTTTTCAACTGACATTAAGCCTTTTACTCTGGTTCACTTGTTACATACGGACATGTCTTTTGACATCTGTATCATGAGTTGGAACCCCAAGTTCTAGACTGGGCTCTGCTACTCTTTGATTAGGTTTATGACTCTTCTCTCCCTCTCCCTCTCTCATATCCCCTTCTTCCCGTCTACATTACAACATGCTCGGCTCTGCTACTCTTTGATTAGGTTTATGACTCTTCTCCCCCTCTCCCTCTCTCCCTCTTCCTCTCCCATATCCCCTTCTTCCCGTCTACATTAAAACATGCTCAGAACTCTCATTTTAAAACAAAGTCCTTTTCCTCAGTTCTGTGCCCCTGCCAGCTACAGTCCTCCCATTGTGGCCCTGCTTCACAGAGTTGTCTATGGTTGTCCCGCTTGCTCACCTTTCAGTTCATTCTAGTAGTCCATGGCTACACCACCCTAGTCCTCCACTGACTGAACTTGGATGGACTGGCTTAAGTTGGCTTCAAATTAAACCTTGTCAGATTTTTCTAAACTATTCTTTTCTACTTTGGTAATACAGAGTAGTAAGTAAAGTGAAGATGAAGATATCAGTGATAGGAAATAAGAGTAATAACATGCTTAAATTGTGTCAGTTATATCAAGTAATTGCCCTTCCCCCTTAAAATAGCCAATTTCTCCTTTTTTTTTTTTTTTAGCTCCACGTTCCGGCTTGGCTGCAAAACACTTTATAGATGTAGGAGGTATTGTATTTACATTCTTATTCTGTAAATATTTCTAAGTATTTACTTTGCATTTGCTTATTAAGAGGAAGTAATTAATGCCAAATTTTATTCTTATTTTTAATTTCAAGAAAAGGAAATGGTTTCTGTTGTGTCTTGCCTTTTAGAAATTTCAGTCTCTGAATAACAATCATGTTAGTTATAAATGCTATTTCAAGAAAAGGAAATGGTTTCTGTTGTGTCTTGCCTTTTGGAAATTTCAGTCTCTGAATAACAGACAATCATGATAGTTATAAATGCTATTTGAATATGTTTAATTTTTAAATGACCATTATGTGAAATGTTTGTTATTTTACTACTAGGCTAACTAGACACTCTCTGACAGATAGGGTTTTTGCCTTGGTTTAGTGTTAATCTGCATTTAGTCCAAACATGACTCCATTTATAGAAGAAATTTTATGAATATGTTTAATTTTTAAATGACCATTATGTGAAATGTATGTTATTTTACTACTAGGCTAACTAGACACTCTCTGACAGATAGGGTTTATAAGAGAAGGAAGAGCTTTTATGTCACTTAAGCAAAAGGTTCTAGAAAATGCAGGTATATATTATAGTAAGATTTTTCTTACCTCCTTAAGAGAGGTATCCATGTTTGTCAAAAGATAAAAGGAGAATCTTTCCCTAAAGTCAAGAGAGAAGACACTGTCCTTTCCTGTCTCGATTTCTTTTTTTTTTAATAATATATTTTTATTGATTTCAGAGAGGGAGAGAGAGAGATAGAAACATCAGTGATGAGAGAGAATCATTGATCGGCTGCCTCCTTCATGCCCCACACTGGGGATCGAGCCCACAGCCCAGGCATGTGCCCTGGCAGGGAATCAAACCCCGACCTTCTGGTTCATAGGTTGATGCTCAACCACTGAGTCACACCAGCTGGGCCTGTTTCAATTTCTTGCTGAGCAGGTCTTCCATGGCTCCTATTCCCTTATAACAAAGCCTTACTCAGTGTCTCCCAAAGTCAACAACTTCCTCACCAGGCCCCTTTCATGAGGGAACCTTAGTCTCCTCTGCTGGCCATCCTTGTACTACCTTACTGAATGGAAATTCTCGCCTTCCTGATATGCCTCCCTTACTTGAATCTCATTACTGGTGACAGACCCCATTGAGAAGGTTATGTCCTGACCCTTCCTTATCCCCATTGATAATAGCGAGTGCTTCACTAATATGCTGTAGGTACTTTTGACAGATGAGAAAACTGGCTCAAAGATGAGTCCAAGTAGACACATTAAAAACCTGGAATCTCCATCCATATGATTTCACTCCACTTGTTCTTTCCACCACCATTTAATGCTGTTGATCCCCCTGCCCATCCACCACCAGCCATAGTCTGTCCTGAGTTAGCTCATTGTCACATGCACTGCATAGGTTATAAGCACGATTGAGACCTGTCCTTGAACTATCTCCTGCCTGCCCCTTAGTCTCCCCATGGTGTCACTAGGTGGTGCTGTGGGACAAGACAAGAGCCCAAAAGCAGTTCTTAAGAGAAGCTGAGTTTGACAAAACAGGGATGGACCACCCCCTGGGATTGAAGATTAATTACCTGGGCTCAGTTATGTGTGATTTTCAAAAATACTTGTTACAAGGTCAAGTATGGTAATTTAGGACTATAATTTAAGGATATAAAATATTGTGTATATTTAAAAAGAAATTTCAAAGGGTTGGGAAAAGCACATGGGCTTTGGAGAAACAACAATGAAAATTAGTGTGCACTCCTGTGAAGGGTTGGAGGATTAAATGCTAATGTATGTAACTCTAATACTATTTGACTCATATTAAATCCTGGAAGTTCTATTTCCTGTGCCCTAGGGACTTCACAGACTTTTTTTTTTTTAATGTGGAAACTTTGTTACTAATTTTTGCTCTGTTGAAGCAAACCCTCTGAAAAAAATTCATGTAAAGGAAATGGAAAGTTAGTTTGCCTGGTGATTGGTTTGGTATTTATAAAATCACATTGTGGTGTGTTCTTGGATGCAAAGCATCTTAAAAATGTCTCTTAGGCACAGGTCTATCACAGTTGGCCACCGTTTTTATTTCAGAGGAAAGATGTTGTTAGAAATCCCAGGCTGTAAATAAGGGTCAAAGGGAAAAGTTGAGTATGCAGGATTCTGTTCAGAACTCACATCTGGTAGGTGTGGATAGTTTTCACTAAAGGTTTCCAACAAACGACATGCCAAAGTCTTGACAGAGTAAAACATTGCCTGAAGTCAGTTAATCACTCTGCCAGTTCCAATGCATGATTTTTTCCAATGATAACTTCAAAACACTTGCTGCTTTCTCATGAAGAGAAATATCCCTGGTGTAACTTATGTCCCTTACTATGTGGGTTTTTCTTGAAGGTCAAGTTGCCTTTGAGTGATAAGTGAACTTGGAACTGTTTTTGTTTTGTTTTGTTTTTTTAGTACTTTTGGCATTCATGCTAAAAAGTAAATTTAATTGAGAGCTTTCTTTCCCTGCCAAACAACTTCATTTCTTTTAGTTAGTTGAAGGTTTTCCCATGTCTGTGTGCTGCGCATAAAATCTTGGTGGATCACCTGGCATTGCAGAATTCAAAATTCAAAACCCAACCATTTGAGTTTGATAAAACAACTTTATAGATAGATAGTAAAGGCCTTTACACAAAGGGAGTGTTTTTGTATCTTAGGAGATAGCATAGACTAAAAAAATAAATACTTAAGTCATATGCAAAAGAGTTAAATACCCAAAGAGATTAGAAAGAAATATAAACAAAATATAGAAGAGAACATGCAAGTACGCAGCAATCATATGGAGGAGGAAAAGTCCAGCCACCCTAGTCACCAGGGAAATGCAAAGTAATGCCATGAAATACCATTTCATTTCTTTCTCATTACTTTGGCTGGAATTAAAAAGATTGCTACCTCTGGTATTGCAAAGACTTTGGAAATGGGCCTTCTTAAATACCATTGATGGAAGTTTGAAGTGCTACACCTTTTTTTGCAAATTGTCCACTAAAATTTAAAATGTACACACCCTTTGACCCAGAAAAGTGCTTTTTGGAAACTATTTGATGAGGATAAAAAGCAGTAATACACAAAGACATGTACAGGGCTGCTCTGTGTGTTATAGCAAAGTGTGAAAATAACATGAATGTGATAATATTTAAGAAATACATACAATAATGGTCCTGTATATCTTAGATTTAAAAAGAATGACTAAGACATGCATATTAGTCTCAAAGAATGTCTATGTGGCAAAAAAGAAAGTAATGTATAAAATATACTAGAGGCCTGGTGCACGAATTCGTGCACAGGTGGTGTCCCTCAGCCTGGCAGCAATCAGGGCCTATCAGAGCGGGCCAGCCAGGGGCAGAGACTGTGGGAGGTTGGCTGTGGGAGGGTAGTGGCCACCAGGGGCAGCTCCTGCGTTGAGCATCTGCCACCTGGTGGTCAGTGCGTTGTCATAGTAACTGGTGGAGACCAGTGGTAATGGTTGCTTAGGCTTTTATATTATATAGATTACTGTAATATTGGCTACCTGAGGGAGGATAGGGGAACATTATTAGCTTTTACTTTATATGTATCTGTACTATTTGGGTAATGTAAAAATGTTCTGGTAAAATAGGAACAAAAGAATTCAGAAGTCAATCCACATTGTCTTATCTCGCACATTCTAGATAAATGAGTCCTAGTCTGTACTCCAAGCCTTGCAGTATGGGATTCCATTGCCTTCGGTGGTCATCTGTGCAGGCCATGGATAGCATGTCCTGCTGAGGGCTTTCTGCATTAAATCTCATCTACATTATTCCTGCAGCCAAAATTCTCTGCACATAGATCTAAAGGAAAGAGTTGGTCCCATCTTTGTCTTAATTGTATCAATAAATATTAAGGACAAATTTAATGGTCAGCTGGTAATGGGGAAAGAAATCAGGCTTCAGTATTCTTTGAATTGGTCATTGCTGTATAAGTAGAAAGGAAGACTGTTTTAAGAAATACTTAAATTCAATTTCACATCCCTAGTAATTCATTCATAAAGCACAGGGGTTAATTTAAACTTCTCCTGGGATCCGCTGGAAAAATCTAAAATGTTGATTTTTTCTGAGTTTTGTTTTTTTTCCTATGGTGGAACTTTTTTTTTTTTTTTTAATTTACTTTCTCCCCTTCCCCCTATATGAGAAAATTGAAAGGAAATGCTTACCCTTGTTCTAAAAAAAAAAAGGTTTTTTTTTTTTTCAGTTGACCTTTAAATAATGAAGCCTGCCAACCGCATTGGTACCCATGGAGCTAAGTTCCTGATTACTTTTATTTCCTTTTTTCCTTTGATAAGAGGGTGTTTTTTTTGTTTTGGCTTTGTGTTTTGTTTTTTTTGTTTTTTTTAGAAGGTAGGTGTTACTAGATAGACATTACATGAACCTGCATTGAATTAGGTTTGTATGAATTCTATCTAGCATTTTACAAACCAAGGGAAAAGAATTAGCAGGTATAAAGGAAATTGGTAGGAGTGGAGGGGAGATTGGAGAGTGACTGCTAGTAGATAGGGGGTTTCTTTTGGGCTAATGAAAATATTCTGAAATTGATTGTGGTGATGGTTGTACAACTCTGAATACACTAAAAATTGTTGAATTGTGAATTAAGTTTCAATGTTAAAAAAACAGAAATGAAAAGGCCTTGGTGCCACCTATATTATCTGTGCTTGTATTTATGGAAACACTTAAATTCCTGGTTCAAAGATAAGTGCTAATAAGTCTGGTAAATGTACTTCTCTGGGCCAAAGCTGGGCTGTGGCTTACATTTCTCTTGCTCTTGTGTTTATAGTCTCAAACAGGTACTAATTATACAGGATTCTAAGTAAAAGTGTGCTCATTATTAAGCTAATGTGTTAATGTCTTCTGAGAGATCACTCTCTAAGAAAAGGTGGTGGCTTAAATTAAAAGTTTCAGCTGCATTTTTATTATAGAAATGAAATGTGCTGATATTTGGTAGATGGCTGCTTAACGATGTCAGCGTTGACTTACTCCACTGCTGATCTTCAGGCTTTCAGACATTTTTATTTATGACTCAATCATATTTCAATGTGGAGATTAGTAGGAAGCTGCCACCAGGAAAAGCCTTTAAAATCCAAATCATAATTTTCTCCTGGTCTTTTTTGGCAGGTGTGCAGCGGATAGACAGTGAGTTTGGAGAGCAATTCAGGACCACCTGTCTGAGTTGCGAAGTGCCTGCTCGCAGTTTAGAGTAGGAAACTGTCACCATTTATAAGGGTAACCGGTTGGAAAATAAGGACTACCTTCTAAATTCTTATTTGCATATTAGTAAGATTTCTTAGTTTTGATGCTTTACGTAGTTACCAGATGCTTACTCAGTTGTATAAAAATCGCAGAGCCATGCCCAGCTGGTAAGGCCCAGCTGGTCAAGCGTTGACCCATGCATCAAGAGAGGTCGCTGGTTCGATTTGCAGTCAGGGTAAAAGCCCAGGCTGCAGGCTCAATACCCCACCAGGGGGCCGTGCAGGAGCAACTGATCAGTATTTCCATCTCATCAATGTTTCTATCTCCCTCTCCCTATCTCTCTAAATATTAATTTTAAAAAATCTATAAAAATCTCAGAGCCACGTAAGAGTGATTTTTGAGGTAATTGCACACTCTTAGTGTTTTGGTAGCATAAAACAAATTAACATTATTTTTCTTTTCTCCAGCTGGTGTTATAGATGAAGATTATAGAGGAAATCTTGGTGTTGTACTGTTTAATTTTGGCAAAGAAAAATTTGAAGGTATGTTAAATACATATGGTCACATAGATGCAGCGAGTCTTCCAAGTTATGTACTTCTAAATGGCACATGCTATAGTTCTCGTTGTATAAGGCAGAGTACAGAGAATGCATTAATAAAAGATCAGTAACACACTTTTGTGTTTTTTTTTTTCTCTTTGAAGTAAAAAAGGGTGACCGAATTGCACAGCTCATTTGTGAAAGGATTTTTTATCCAGAAATAGAGGAAGTTCAAGTAAGTATCATAAAAACTGAGTAGGGAATGAATGATCAGTGAAGGAAATTAAAATTGTGAGATTTAATATGCTATCTGTAACTAAATAGCATATATGACTAGTCCCATTTTTAAGCAAAATTAAAATCTTAGCTGTAGAATTTCTTGATGATTTTCATGGCTATCATATAGAATTATAATGGGTAATAAATCATTTAAATGTACTGTGAAATTCTATTTCCTTAGCTTTTTTGAAAATTATTCAATATTTAAATTTATGGAACTAAAATTTAGTTTTGTTTTCTGTAATCTTTTTTAAAGATGGATTAGCAGGAATGAAAGTCTTATTAATGAGGAGCTGGGGAGAACTGAGAGGATCTGAAATTAACCAGATGGCTTACCACCTTTTATCTTTTCAGGCTTTGGATGACACTGAAAGGGGCTCAGGAGGTTTTGGTTCTACTGGAAAAAATTAAAATTTATGCCAAGAATAGAAAATGAGAAACAAAGAGTTTTTGTTTGGTGTTTTGCACTTCTGTAAACTTAACAGCTTTAGATTCTAACAATATTTGGTTCTCTTATGATCAAGGAAAAAGGTACTCTGTTGGGATCACATTGAACTTTTTTGTGTTTTTCTACATTTGTTGTATAAATATTCATGGTAACCTAATTGTTTGTTTTTTTGTTTTTTTCAATCAAACGTACATCAGTTATAGATCCCCAGAACTGTATTATTTAACTCACTAAATGCCACTCATTCAACAACTTATTCTTTGGTTTGTTTTATAGATCATAAACAAAGCCTTTTAAATTTGAATTCTTTCACAGATACAAATTATTATGTAAACTGAACTAAAAGATGATATATAAAAAAAGTTATTCCTTGTTCTCTTTATTGGTATAAAAACTGTGTGTGTGTGTGTGTGTGTGTGTGTAGAGAGAGAGAG